GTATTTATTTATTTATTTGAACACATAAATATTGGTACAGGGGGGCACCAAATATATATGCGCCACTCAAAATAGATACATAAATAAATGACCAACATGATCACAACGCACGTGAGATACAATTATAACCCAAAAAACGGCATTCGAATATGGAAATGGAATACAAGGTGACCTAAATTACAGTAATTTTGTTATGAAAAGAATATAACAGTAGTTTTTACGTCACATCACTGCTTTCTCGCGGCGGAGGTGTTGTTTAAGAAATTGAGAGGATGAAAAGCGAATGTTCAGCACTTGAACTGGGTCGGTGGACACGGAGAGTCCATCTATGGGAGTTGAGAAACCTTGATTCCAAACCAATGCTGCACATGGGCTCTAGTATCCTGAAGGAACAAATGGCGTATGAACCATGGGACTGGATCTCCAGACATTGCTTCACTGCCTTGTGGATCAGACCTTTTAGGTCGAAGGCTCTGGTGGGACTTAAGAAAAACTACCTGATTCAGTCTGGGCACCCGGACAGTATCCCAGTTCTCAAACAAATTAAATGATTTATGTACCGCTTATCTATTTGGTGCCTCCTTGTATCAATGTTTATGTGTTTAAATAAATAAATAGAATAACTTACTGATATTATTTTCCGTATTTCGAATTATTCGAGACAGTATACAAATAGTATCTTTTGTTGTTTGTCTCTATTTCTTTATTCTTTTATTCACAAAATATATATTTATATATAGGTGGATGAAAAAGGTGCAGTGGCGGCTGCAGCTACAGCAATACCAATGGTAAAATGTACAGCTGTAAGATCTTACAAACCTGTACCAAAATTTCGTATTGATCATCCATTCTTTATTTCAATTGTTTGGAATAATTCTCTACCAATATTTCTTGGACATATTACATCACCATTGGATTGAATCAAAAGAAAGGAAGAAAAAAAACTTGATCATTATAACTTATATAAGAATGATCATCTATTGCCTACTATTCATTTCATATATAAGTAGGAATATTTTTTTTTATAAACGAGTTCATTTCACTTTTATATCTGTGATCATATGTTTTCCTTCTTTTTTTTATAGTTTTTCTTTTTTGTTAAAAGTTTTATTGATTTTTTTTAATCTTTTTTTTTCTCTATAATATGACTTTTATATTCCCATGACTACTAATCAGTAACTCATGAGATTTTGTTTGATTGTTTCTATGCATATTTTTAAAATAATACATATATTAGTGGGTAGTAATAATAATAATAATAGTAAAGACTAGATATATGGAATTACATCATAGCCTGTAAGATTGATCAGATATTCAAAAGGAAAGAAAATCACACACATACACACATACATGCATCAGTGACAATTTTGAAACCAGATCACGGATTGATAGTTTTGGGCTACCAATTTAATTGTACCTTATGATTCATCAGTTGACATAGTAGTGTGAAGCTGTTTCTCAAGAAAAACTTGATGCCCAGACTTCAAGAAAATCGGTTTTCGATATTTAGGCTACTTGTTTGGATGCTTGGATTCATTGATAATACGATAGGGGTTCTACCTTTATAAGTATGCTTTCTAAAGAACTATATCAGATGTTAAGAATTCGCAAAGAACACGAATAACTAACTATCATCCAGAAGCATTAAACGTTCAGTTGAGTTGTTAATTCGACAACACATCAACATACCTTACTAGTATTAGTCAGTGTTGTGATGATATGAAAGAATGTAGTGAGTTAGCATACGACACTTCGAGCACATCTGTGGAATGTTTAGTGTTCCGAAACGAGAGTTGATTTCTATGTTACTATAGAACTAATAGTTTTGTTTTCCTATCGTATTATTATCTCGGTCTCATTAGATTGTTGCTTCTTTCTAAAAACAAAGAAAACAACAGAAGAAAATCCTCTTGATTTAACCACTGTATTTATTAATGATCGTTGACAATGACTGCCGACAACGCTTAGCGGAGGGAAGAGCAGTGTAATATTAGTAACGGTAAGGTAGAAATAACCTTCGGTTTTAAAATTATTCAGTGACTAATTGGATGAAGTTATATTTTCCTACGTATTTAGTAAATCAAATTGACATGAATCGAAAGAATTTCAATGTTTACCCATCATCGAATAACTAATAGTATCATTTCGAATTTCAAACACTAATATGAAACGAACATGTTTGTAATACAGTTTGTAAGTCACTAAATTATAAGATCTGTGCCGAATGATTGGAGACCTATTCGATCTAGTCGGGAATGATGTGAGGAACCAGCTAACTTCGAATTCGCACTTCGCCTTCAACATCTAACATGGATTACCCCTTCGACGCGTCAAAGCACAATGAGTGATTTGAAGACCGTATAACACAAACAACCTTATTATGGTAATACATTAATAAGAATGAGTACAGAGAAGATAACTAGACCACCTCCACATGGACCAGTCCATGACTTACGATCAGTTGATGCAGGTTGGTTGTCCTTGGATAACACATTGACATTGCCGTGGGTCGATGATCTGTTCGATATACAATGTTCCAACTGCGGGATGATTTGACTTGGTTTAAGTGACATTTTACTGGCCCTACATTGCTTTCTATTAGTCTTATGAATTGCTTTGATTCAAACAGGCGGAGGGTAAAGAGTTTGTAATTTGAACCTGTTTATTGCCTAAATAGTCAGTTTAGCCATACCCCACAATCTCATCGAAATTTCTGGTACATCAGTGATTTTCGAATTTTTATGATAAGATTTCTGAAATTGTTGCAATGAAAATGTAGAGAACAATCTGTAGTGGATAGTTGATATGAATAGTTTTACACGTCAGTCAGTCAGCTGCAACGTAGGACCAGGCACGTATATGCATCGGTCCAAGTTGCCATACCGCATTAGCACAACAAGATGAACACCGGATTCATAGGAGTAGTTAATTCAGTGATGGTAATATATAGAAGAAGGATTGTGTATAAGGAGATAGTAAAGGAAGAAAGAATTAGTTCCTAGACAGATATGAAGCGATTTTAATCTCTTAATTTAAGGAAGACAGAGAGTGTATACACCGACGCCATTGTGATCGATTCTGAGCCATGTCACCAAGAGTCTCCAACCATTGGTTACGATAGATTTATGATTCACTAATTCAGTCCACTGATGTTGTTGTCTAAACTTTCTTCATAGTTGTTAGTTTAATGAATGAATGAGAATGAAGTGTGAATCAGAGTGGTCAATTTAGTTTAGATTAAGTTAGAAACTTTACATGTTATTGTCCTCAAATGAATATTGTATAGTCTCATTTGTATGTTGATTATATATGATTCAATTTAAATGTATCAAAGTTATGAATGTGTTGCGTAACTACATAGTGACAAATATGAAGTAATTTCAATGGTTACGATCATGAGTGAGTTGAAGCTAGACCACCATGGAAAACCTGGAAGCACTAGACGGTCGTTTCGTCCTATTGTGGGACTCCTCAACAGTGCGCATGGTGGTCTAGCTTCAACTGACTAATGATCTTAACCATTGAAATTACTACAATCCCCACAAAACCCCTTCTGAAAAATGAAGTACACTTTACATCCGATAAATCATAACGAAACACATAGCATAATGCTTTTCAGTTGACAGTTACTGGAAATCAAAACAATCATCAACCAATGATAATATACAACAACAATCATCCACGAAAAATTCCATTTCGACTTGTCAATCCTACCACTTATTACCATCAATGATGATGGTCTACAAACAGCTGTAATGAATCGGATTTCAAATATGTAGACAGTATTCTAGTACTGAACAACCTGTAATCAGTGTTTGTAGACTTGAAGTTAGAATTCACCATGCATGAATCTGATCCTTAGTCTGCCTGAATAATTGATTTCAAAAAATCCTGCATTAGATCTTCACTGTACTGCGATATTAGAGCGATGGCTGTACTTACTTATTTATGCATGTTAACACATGTGAAAGAGCATAGGTCGCCCATTAAGATGAATGTGGCTTCCTAATTTTGTCTGCATGCACCTTATCTTCGGAACATAAAAGTACTGTAACACCAAATTTCCATTCGTCACGAATTAACTGTCATAGTCATCAATACATTAGTGATTGCATTTTGACCAGTTTATGCTTATCATCGTCTCGTATTATTTCGAATCCATATACTGAATGTACACTGCACTAATATCTCACAAACCTTTTTAACTGGTGTCTTCAAAGTCTATAGTTCATATAACGTAATTTCTTAACTAAAAATCTAAATGTAGTGTTAAACAGATGTAATCGATTCAGATTATCACTACTGAAATCGTCAGTCGATACTTGTCAACTGATAAGAGGTTTCAAGGACAAATGAACATTCCTTCCACATGAGCTGTGATAAATTAGCCAATACACAAATCAAACGATTCATATCTCAAGTGATTTATGGAATGCACTGACAATGGGTGTAGGAAAGTGGACTGGTTACTTCTTAAATTGTAAGTGTGAAGTCCCGAAACATTTATTCAGATATTTCGTTTCTTCGAAAACAATCATCCAATGTCATTTACGGACTGAATTATATTTCTCCATGTATAAACACTCTGGTCCGTGAAGTTACGAAAAATTTGTGATCTGAGAAGTCCAAATCGTCTAATTGGTTCTGAGCTGTCCATTCTATGCCGTGTTTTCCCTCAGATGTCGAGGTCTTCATAATCCAGTCGGCCACCAGAAGAAAGAGGAAGGGAAAGAGTAGACATCCGGTCCTTACTTGAACTGCGTCTGTCATCTGTCCTCCATGCACCACTTTGCACTGTAGTCCGTCGTATGAGTTCCGGATAATGTTGACAATCTTCTCAGGAACTCCGTAGTGTCGAAGAAGTTTCCATGACGTTCTCCTATCTACACTGTCAAATGCTTTTTCATAATCGATGAAGTTTATGTACAGTGACGAGTTCCACTCAATTGATTGATCGACGATGATCCGTAGTGTCGCAATCTTATCTGAGCGCGATCGGTCCTTACGGAATCCAGCTTGTTGATCTCAAAGATCAGCGTCTACCGTGTCTTTCATCCGGTTCAGCAACACTCTGTTAAAGACTTTTTCTGGTACTGATAGTAGTGTGGTGCTTCTGTGGTTTCCACACTTGCTCATATATCCTTTCTTTGGAATCTTGATGATGTGTCTTTCTTTCCAGTTCATCGGCACTTGTTCTTCCTCCCAAATCTTCTTGAATAGAAGTTAAAACATGTTTTGTGGTTACTTCGATGTCTGACTTCAGTGTTTCAGCTGGTATATTATCGGGTCATGCTGCTTTCCCGCTCTTGATTTGTCTGACGGCAATTCTGATTTCTTCTGTCGTTGGTGGATTGACATTTATAGGAAGATCTGTGTGTGCTGCTTCGATGTCCGGTGGATTCATTGGAGCCGGCCTGTTCAGGAGTTCCTCGAAGTACTCTGCCTATCTGTTCCGCTGTTGTTGAATTTCAGTGAGTGGTCTTCCTTCTTTGTCTTTGACCGGTCTCTCTGGTGTACATCAATCTGACGAGTCTCAAATAGGATGAATCGCGTGTCCTGGATCACACTGTTAGCCATTATCCATCTTTGTTCGTAAAAGCTTGTGAATAATTGCAATATCGAGACCTACGCACAGTATGCATATATGCCAATAACAGACTGATCAATTGCAGTGTTAAAAACTCAATGGGTAAATACAAGCAAAACAATACCAAGGGAATCCGAATGATGTAGTTGTATTACTGTAGTCCGCACAATCAGATGATAAATTGTAGGCCCATCCACATATCGCCTAAATTCAGTCCTATGGGGTCCCCTTAATAATAGTCATCAGGGTGAAAGTTTAACGAGGCTACGCGCACTACAAGAAGCACTACTTTCTGCGTGTACTCTTAAAAAAATAAGCAATATTCTACTGGGTGTATTATTATTATAAACAAGATTTGGATTTATGACAGCACACTTTCCCTCCAGTTATCCAGTGAGTTGAATTGACAATAATGGTAGTATTTGCAATGACCCAAGAATATAGATCGCACCATCTCAGTTGCAGCTGTAAATAGGAAGAAATTTAAGATCCAATATATGGCTTGAATTGACAAATGAATTATTCAAAATGTAAAATTTGAGTCACTATTACAACAAATTCCACACTGAATATTTAGATGGAATGCCCAGTGAATCCGAATTATAAACGTTTTCTTGTCTTCTACAAATAACAAATCGACTAAGAGTTGAATGATTCTTGGAAATGTTCGATAGTTATAAATGAGATAAGATCTGAGTAGGTGAGCGGTGTCCGACAACCTCTTCATCTTATTTCACCACAAGGTGAATTATGTTGGATACAAATCAAAAATAACAATCATTAGAATAGATAGATGACCACGTATATCAATTGATGATCAACTAGACCTTCATTGGATTCTGTCACTTACCTTTATTAATTGTCAACCATTCGGTGTAAATCTAAGATGATCAAAGATATAAACTAGATGGTATTTCTTCTGAAATTGAAGGTGAGTTTCAGAATTCACACAGAAAGATGGTGTACGTCTAGATTGGAAATGAATGGTATTACCGAGAGTTTAGTAAGACTATATAGTGTATAAACAT